AGGTAGGGGGAAAATTAAAGGAGGAAGCCAGGCACAAGGGGCTGGAGATGGGCGCTAGCGATGGATTTGTTTCGTCTTCTACTCTTCGTCAATCGCTCGGCCGCTTGGGAATAACTTGGATTATTGTTTGTTGACTCATTGTCGCCGCTGTGCGCGGCAACCTGGTGTTGCGCCGCCGCAGCCGTGCCAGCAAGCCGCCCATGAGCCATCTGGCATCTGCTAGACCGTGAGGCGTGACCATCGGCCATCCGTAGTTCATTTCCCCATTGGCAAATCATTTTAGCGTCTTCATTATCTGCGAAACCGCGACCGTGAGTTCATCTAGTCACAAGTACGTATTCATCCATCCAATTATCGGCTTCTTTTTACTGTATCTCTGTAGTGTTGTGTGGATTTTGATATTGAGATTTATACCCTTGCGAAAAAATGTAGTCATTGTCAAGGGCATTTAGACGGTTCCTTCCCTGTAAAAGATTTCAACCTAGATCTTGATGATCAAAGTGGCCACAAAACGATGTTTCGGGTCTGCACATGATATCAAGTAATATATTGATTTCTCTGTTCAACATTTTTTCCTAATTAATGAAATTTACATCACTATCCTCATTATATATGGGGCTTGGAACATGGTTCTAATCCTTCATCAAAAAGCAAAAAATCTTATAGAAAAGAACATGCATAAAGAGGCATTGGATGCATCGATGTTGGCGGAGGTAAGCATTACTACTCTATGTGATTTTTTTCCTATTGTAAGAAGCATGTGCATCCTTTAGATAGCTACATATTGAAGGAAAAATAACGTGGTCTATGTAAATGTCCCAAGAGGTTTATATTAAGGGACCCCGGCTTCTAGGTTCGCCCTGGGCCCCCAAAATCTCTTGACCGGCCCTGGCTCCCATTTTACATACGCCTCATGCTTCTCCAAGTCCATGTTCTCCCTCTCAAGCTGCAACTTGTTGTTCACCCTCTCCAGGTCCCAATCCATCTTCTCATTTTGCAAATTGAAGACGAGCTTGTACCTTTCCTCGGTGTAAAAATGCCCATCCATGTGGCGGTCATTTTGCTCACCGTAGCACAAGGTTGGAAAAAGCGGTAGGCGTAAGCGAGACGGTTGGCCTTCTCCTAGTGCCTAGGCGGTGTCTAAGCGCCCTAGGCGTGGCCTAGACGGTGATATAGTTTTTACTCGTAGTGCATTTGTGACTATTATATGGGTGTTGATATTAGTTTAGGGCATATAAATAAGTTAATTACCGTCTACTTCCATTGGAATATAACCCGTTTGGCATATCAGTGTAGTATGTGGCATGATTTCTTGCTTGGGTAGGCAATTCCTTGCTTGCCCTGCTTAGACCTCCATTTACGCCCTAGGCGAGGCGTTTGGCCATTGCCTAGCGCCTAGGCGTGCCTAAACGGCCCTACCCTTCTCCCAGTTGTTTCCCATCACTTTGTGGTTCTCCTTTGGCATGGTGGATTCTCCCTCCCCCTCCAACTTCCTCATCTTAGTCATCCAATCCAATGGATTGTTGGGAGATTGAGCCATCGTTTTTCCTCAAGTTCTTGTTGTCGTTCTTGAGGGCATCGATGAGTTGTTGCCACTTTGGTTTCCCATTCAATTTCAACAAACAATGGCACATAGTGAATGACTTCCCCTTGGTTTGTTGGTACGAAGTGGCAGCCAACCCCATCTAGCAAACGAGAATGACACATGAGAATGCAACAAACAAAGCTAGCAATGCAAATGATGATAAAATGAAGGAAGTCAACTGACACAACTCTTGATCCCAACACCACTTTGGTTCCGGCCAACCACATAAGAATAGTAGCTGCAAAACTTGTCCACTCTCTCGTGGATGATGGACCATCTATGTTGGAGACAAGCCTCATTGCGGGTGGTATGGATCAGGGCATGACTCCACATATTCCTTATGTTTATGGTCAGGCTTGCAGACATTTTCCCAATACTTGTTTCCTTTTGCTTGGTGATACATCTCTAACGTATCTATAATTTCTTATATCATTTTTTTCTGGACTAACTTATTAATTTAGTACCCAGTGCCAGTTTCTATTTTTTCTTGTTTCTGGTTTCACAGAAATTGCATATCTAGGAAGGTCCAAATACAATGCCAATTTTTGAAGATTTTTTCTCGACAATGAAGGACCCTAGAAGCTTTGGGAGAGGTCGATGGGACCCACAAGCCAACAACATGGACATGTGGTGTGGCCAGGGGGGTGGTCGCGCCACCTGCACATGTGGGGGCCCCTGAGCCTCCGTTTTATCTAATTCCTCCACCAATAAATCATATAATTCCCGAAACCCTCATAAGCGAACTGAAAAGAATTTTATCACCGCCGCAAGCCTTTGTTCCGGTGCTCAGCCGGAGGGGGAAGCCACCATGGGAGGCCTCTTCATCAACCTTGCTACTTCTGTGATGATGTGTGAGTATTTCCTTTAGTCTCTCTCTCTCTCTCTGTCTGTCTGTCTCTCTCTCTCTGATCTTCTTTACAATGATCTCCTATAAGATCAATTTGATGTAAATCTTGTAGTGTGTTTGTAGGGATATGATGATTTGTGGATTTGTGATCAAATTGTTCATTGAATATAATTGAATCTTTTGAAGTTTCTTTGTTGTATAATTGAGTAGCTATGTATGCTTTCGGAGTTATTTGTCTGCTCTACCGAAGATAGATCGGCGTGAAAGCATTTTTGGGTGAAAAATATGGACCGCGTGACGAGTGTGGCCTGGTGCCCGCCGCTGCTATTCGGGGGAAAAGCAGTGACGGAAGCTGCAAAGGCCCCCCACTGCTAATACAATACTTCACCGCCTTACACACACAACTCCATTTTTTAAATCATTTGAATTTCATACTTATTCCATGATTAATACACACCATACAAAGACCCATTCTTAAATTTGGCCACTTTTCATGTTGGTCTGCTATTTTGGAGGTATTAACTAATTTACCAACCAGTAAAAATGACAAAACGCTCTTTGGTGCAAAATAACATGCAAACTAGCTACTATGAAAATTTTCTATGATTAGTACACACCATCGAAAGCCCCAGGATCAAATTTGATACTATTCTAGGTTTATTAAATATGATATTCTTAGGAAGTTTTGGACCTGACTTATGTGTGAACTACCGGGACAAGCTTATAGGTGTCCTCAAGCTCTTATGAGTGGCGGGCACCACCAGGTACAGTGGCATGCATCAATTAATACCCGTCACAGGTATACTCTTCCAACTTAGCCTGCCGGATGGAAAGGGCAGTGGTGGGCCCTACCCAAGTGCCCGCCAATGGTTTTTCATAAACCAGTGCCGGGCGTGGAATAAGCTAACGACAACTATATTTCGGCGTGCCATGCCAAAAAGTTTCCAAATTTTGATTTTTTCCCAGTGGTGTGGGCTTACAGCCGCCCACCACATATGTCTTAAATAAGATAATTCTTTAAAATCATTGCAGACCAACCCAAAATAGTTCCAAATTTTACCATGGGGCTTTCAATGATGTGTGTTAATCATGGAAAAAGTTTGAAGTTGAATTGATGTATAAAAGTTGACATCAGTTAGGTAGTTGACGGTTTCCCTTCGAAACAGGTACACTTCGATGAAGAGTGTTTAGTTTGTATATGAAGTGCATGAAGTTTTTGTCGTAACACAAGGAACATTTTACTAAACCCCACAAGGGTCCTATGAAGACATGATACCAACTTCCATAAATTTCCGAGTTA